CCCTCCTCCCAGGCTGAGAGCCAGCCTAACCCTAGGTGAGCCTCTGGCAGGGCAAGAAGGCTGGGTCGGGGGTCGCTTGGGGGGGGCTCAGTCGGTTAGGTGTCGACTTGGGCTCAGGCCATGATCTCACGGTTCGTGAGTTCGAGCCCCGCGTCCGGCTCTGTGCTGACAGCTCGGAGCCTGGAGCCTGCTTCGGGTTCTGTGTCTCCGTCTCTCTCTGTCCCTCCCCTACTTGTGCTCTCTCTCTCTCTCTCTCTCTAAAACAAACACTAAAAAAAAAATTAAAAATAATAAAAAGGGTAGGTGGGGGCAGGGGACAAGTGCCGTCAGTGCCCTCGTCCCCACACAGGCCGCATCGACTGTCAGCGTCACTGTGGTGAGTGAGCCCCTGCCCGGTCCGTGGGGCACAGCGGTGGCGGCAGCCCTGGAGGCCGAGGCGGGGGGAGCCTGCGGCCGCCTCTCCTGTGTTGCAGGCATCTTCCAGTACGAGACCATCTCCTGTACCAACTGCACGGACTCGCACGTCGTCTGCTTTGGCTACAACTGCGAGTAGGGCTCAGGCTCGGGTGGTGACCAGCAAGGGCCCTGTGCCCGTGGGTCTGAGGCTCTCCTGGGACCCTCCCTGTTCCTCCCTGGCCTGTCTCCACCGGGGTCGGGTGGGGTGGTAGCCCCTCGGCAGGCCCTGAGTTCTGGATTTGGGGCGCCCCGTCTGCACGCCCCGTGTGCCCACAGGTCATCGGCACAGTGGGAAACAGCTGTGCAGGGCCTCCTCCGGTACATGTGAGTTGGGGCCCCTGGGCTCAGGGAGGGGACCTTCCCCTCCACGCCTGACGTTCTGATTCCAATCCTGCTGTCGTTGTAGAAATAAGTGGCACAAGTAAGTCCCCTGTCCCCAAACCCAGCATGACTTGTATCAGAGGCGGTGTGCTTATGTGCCCTTGCGGGTGAGTATGCGGAGGACGGCCACAGGAGGCGGCACCTGCTCCAGTGCTCAGGACCCCAGCCCGCCCTTCCTCTGTGCTCAGCTGGCACCAGGGGGCGCAACACCCAAGTTAAAGGTTTCCATAGAGTCTGGTCCTACCCCTGCCCTAAGCAGCTGGCAGGGCTGTGGTCAGAGCTGGGGGAGGGACTTGGGGGCCACAGGCACAGCACAGCCCTAAAGCTTGGGTCTAACTGGGACCCTGTCATGTCTTTCAGACAGGACGACCACACAAGGTAAGGCCCCCGCCCCGTCTGTTCTCTCCAAAACCCTGGCCTGGCCTTCTGGAGGGGAGCACGAGGGAGTCAGAAAGGGGTGGCACGGGGGCCTCTAAGTCAGGGGTGGACGGGGAGGGGCTGGCTAGGGAGACACAGCCGGCAGGGCTCTCTCTGCACCTGGGACAAGCTGGACGTCACCCCTGCAACCACACCCGAGTGATCACTTCGAATAAACATCGGATCTTCCTCCCCTCTCCTGGATGCACAGAACCACTCCAGCTTTGTGAGTGGCGCAAAGGAGGGAGGCTCTGAGGACCTGGGTGGACTCTGTAGGCAGGGTCGAGCCTAAGCCAGAGATCAAAACCCAATGGCCAGCTTGCCGCAGCCTCCCACCCCCTTTTTGCAGCCCCTTGCAAGAGAGTTGGGCTCGACCCCGATGCTGTTTAGGGGATGGGTACAGGCCACGAGACCTCCAAGTTGAGCTTTGAGGGTTGTCTGCAGCCCTGTCACATGCCCTAGGCCTGTAGCAAAGACCTTGGTTTGGGGGGGGGGGAGGTAGAGCAGGGAGAGAAGAGCTGAGGGCACCCATGTCTCCCCAACAGTCTGATGTCACCAAGCTTCACATGTCTTGAGCCCCCACACCTGGCCAACTTGACTCTGGAAAATGCTTCCGAGTGCCTGACACAGCACTGACGGCCACCGGCCATCGCCAGACTGGCCCTAGCCTCGAGGTGGAGCCAGGACTCAGCTGGACTGCCCCAGCCTGACCCCCCGGAGCAGGCTCACTGCTGCCTTGAGTCCCTGCACTGCCATCAGAGGCTGGGACCGGGGCCGGGAAGGGCGCATGGCTTTGTATATAGAGTGCATCACCGCCGGGCGGAGCCGCAGGGCTATTAGAGGCAATGATTAAACGTCCCTGTTTCTCATCACAGAGTATCCGTGTTGGGGCAACCAGGGCTGGGTCCCCAGGAAAGGCACATCCCGGTCATGGGCACCGGGGCAGGGCTGACGGCCCCGGGATTTCCATACGAATTGTACCGCAACCCGTCTCAACACAGCCGGGCAGGCTTGACAGACCCAAGCCTTTGGCGCGAGCGGGTGCTCTTGACTCGCCACGCCGGGCTAAACCTCAGCTGAAGGAGCACAGGAAGCGTCCCTAGCACGTCGTTTCCTTTCGCAAACACTCATGTGCGTTACGAGACCCACGGTAAATGGCTTGATGGGCCTGGAAGACGAGAAGTCGGGGACTAGTCCTGCCAGGAGCAGGTACACGGAGGTCAGAAGAGTCCGCAGGGCCAGGTGGGCGTGGAACACCGCTCCGGCAGGCCGTGCAGGCCGGTGGTCTTACCGGCCAACAATGGCCTCAAGGTGTCAATGTGGCCTCTGCTGCCCCAGTGCTGGTGAGGGAGCGGAGGGACCCGCGAGGGGTCTGGCTCGGGCGGGTGATTATCAGGAAGAGAAGCTAAGCTGGTGGAAGGCGGGGGCTGCCCAGCACCGGGTCCACGTAGGGGTCGGACGGCTTTCCGTCTGCTGACCCAGCCTTACTGGTCCTGAATTGTCCCTTGGCCACATGGTGTCAGTAAAGGCAGTGGCAATGTGGCAAATTGAAGCACGGGCAGGACCTGCCTTCCAACACCTGCTTCTGCCACTCACCTACACACCCGCCGCTAGTGGGGTTCCCTGGGAAGGGAAAGGAGGGTGCGGTCCGCGATGTTGGTGGACCTCCCGTGGGTGGGGTCGTGGCTCCCTGCTGGGGCTTGGCCCGTGTGTGGGGATGACCTCACCTCCATCACGAAGGGAAGGGCGCACTCGCAGGTGGGGACAGGGATCCCCAGCACGCTGTGTGACTTCCCGAGGGTGCCCCAGGCAGCTCGAGGATGGTCCGGAGTCCCTCTTGTTACCGGGTGTGCACACCGGCACAGACAGGAGGTGCGACAGACAAATGTCTGTGTTACAAGTTTATTGGATCATCTCGACACAAAATCATTACAGCAGCGTGATATGTCTCTCTCTCCTTTATCTGGGAATGTCGATAGCAAATCACTTCTTATCGAACACATCATACAGTTCTGAGGTTCTGGAATCACTGCACAGGATTCTGTAATAGATTACCCTACATGCTAAAGTGACAGTGTTCGTCAAAAGGAAGTTAACGTCATTTAGGACCATCATCTCTGACGGGGTGGTCCGGGGTCCCCTTGCCCCGCCCCGCCCCGTGAGGTGCATTCCAGGGGCTGGGGCCCCCCCCAGGACCGGGCCCTCCCCGCAGCTGCGGGCACGGTGTGGGACAAAGCCTGGGGAGCGTTTGGCGACAGGAGGGACCTGGGATCCCAAACAGTCCCCACCACTCGCCAAACACCACCGACCGAGACACATTTCGCTGGACAGGAAAGCAATGTAAACCAACAAGGTCCAGGCCCCACTCCGTCAGGGATCCCGACTAGACCCCACCCCGGGTGGCAGCCGTTGCAACGCATGAACACGTGGGTGGGACGCGGGGAACACGACAGCAGCCTGCACGGCCCCGGGGCCACCGGGTGTCCTGGCCCGCGGCCGCGAGGGAGGAGGGTGAGCAGGCGCCCCCAGGCAGGGAGTGTGGGGGCCGTGGGGCACTCGGGTGGCCTCACGGCATCAGGGCGCGCCACCCCGCACGGTCCACCGGGCGCCGCGGCCGGCTCCTCGGGCAGCCTCGGGGCTCCTCGCTGAAGAGATGGGAAGAGGCAGAGTAGGAACGCCGACAAGACGCGTCAGCACAGCGTGTCACCTCGCGACCCGAGCGGGGGCCGGGGTGGGGGCGGGGGGCCGGGCTCAGCACTCGGCCAGCGTCGCTTTCATCTCCGTCAGCAGGTTGCTCAGCAGCGTCGCGTCGCTGCACTTCCCGTCCACCGACACGGACTTCTCCCCCTGGAGAAGGGAAATGGCCGTCAGGACTGTGGAGGGTGTGGAACGCGACGCCCAGAGGCCGCCTGGTGGCCGAATGTGCCGTTTGTGTCTGTCACCACCTCCCTCGGTGCTGGTGCTTCGCGAATCCAGACAAGGGAGGTGCCCCGGAGGCCCCCCCCGCCATGCCCCCACCGAGGCCGGGACTGGAGAACCCCAATCTGGGCAACGGCTTGCCAAAGTGGGGTACGTGAGCAACGGTCCGCCTTCTGGCTGGGGGGCCTCGGGGAAAGCGGCCTGTAAATGTGTCCGCGAGCCGCTGTCCCCCTGGTCCCAGGGCCGGTGCCTGCGTGCGGCAGCTCCGACAAGTGGGACAAAGGTCGCAGAGACAGACGGGCGCTGGGACCAGAGGTCAGGCACCTGCAGCCCATGCCGTGTCCCCCGCGGGACTAACAAGGCCCTGGTTACTCAGCACCCAGAGACCCAGGAGACCTCAGCTCAGCTCTGTGGAAAAGGCAGCCAACGGCCAGGCCAGGACGAGGAGGACGTGGCATCTTCCGACAGGACACAGGCTTGTAAGTCCCTACTGTAAGACCCCCCAACACGCAGTCAGGAGCACTGTTGAAGCCAACAGGAAGACGGAACATCCCAGCCAAGACAGGCAAGATCTCGAGAACGCCCGGCGGACGTTCCAGACCTGGAATACACAGTCGTCAAAACGAGACACCCACGGGTGGGCCCACGGGCAGAATGGCTAGCCCGGCAGAGGGCGGGGCCAGGCAGGCCCTGCTGTAAGAAGAACCCGGCGCTAAGAAAGGACTTAAGTAACAGCGGGAAACTTCCAGAATTTTGCAAACACTCAAGAGGCGTAGCATACTCCTGACAGACCCGGAGAAGTCCGCGCCAGACACGCTGTGACCTGCTGGAGGCTGACAACCAAGAAAAACCTGGAGAGGAGACGGCGCCTCCCTGTGACAAGAATAACGGGGTGCAGCTCTCGTCCAGGAACCGTGACTGTGAAACGAGGCAGTGTGACGATCTTCTGGAAGATTTTACTTTTAAGTCCTCTCGAGGCACCGGAGTGGCTCAGTCGGTTAAGCGTCCGACTTTGGCTCAGGCCAGGATCTCGTGGTTCACAAGTTCAAGCCCCTGGTCACGCTCTGTGCTGACAGCTTGGAGCCTGGAGCCTGGAGAGATTCCGTGTCTCTCTTTGCCTCTCTCTGCCCTTCCCCTGTTCATGCTCTGTCTCTCTCTCTCAAAAATAAGTATTAAAAAAAGTGAGTCCTCTCTATACCCAGCGTGGGGCTTCAACTCTAGAGCCCCGAGATCAAGCCACACCCTCCACTGACTGAGCCCGCCAAGGCACCCCAGAAGCGGCGTGATTTTAAAACACTGAGACAAAGATCCGCCAAGCTAACGCGCCCAGCAAAACTAGCCCTGGACGAGGCTCCGCGGCCCCCAGGCCTGTCCCAGAAGCGGCTGGAGGCAGATGTGGAGCGGGTGGCATGGCGTGTGCAGGAGAGGGAGGGCAGGGGAGAAGCGGAAGACCAGACGGAGGAGGAGACCCGGGGTCGTCAGTGGGATGACGGCACCCACCCGTGAGAACGCCTTCCAACACAGGAAGGACGCGCTCAAGAAGACACGCGCGTCAGCACCCATCATGAGAAAGCGAGAGTGGCTTTTTGTCCAACATCAGACCGGAGAACTTCGCAGCAGAGAAAACAACCCGAGATAAAGAAGGAGGTCGACGCGGATAAACAAACAGGTGCATATGTCAAGACGTCACGACTTTCTCGGTCCACACACCTAACAGCAGACACACAGAGCGAACCCGACAGCTCCGGGGGGACAGACAACCTGACTGTCACTAACCTCACACCACCCACTCAGGCAGCCGCCGGGCCGGCAACACAGACTCCAAGGGCCCAGAAGAACCGAGACCACCACCAGCGGGGCCCGCTCCACCGGCAGAACACTCACTGCCTCCACGCATCCGCGAGCACCACCCCTGCCACGAATGACCACGTCCAGGGCCAGAGCGCAAATCTCAATACTTTCAAAGGACCGAAATCACAAGCGGCGTGTCCCCCAACCACGGTGGCAGCATGCTACAAATCCGAAGCAAAAAGCCATCCAAACACGGGAAACCAAACAACACGCTTCTAAGTGACCCGTGCACTCTACAGGACTTGGGAGCAGGAATCAGAAAACGTTAGAACCGTTTACACATAAACACGAAACATTTAAACACCCGTGGCGTTCAGCTAAAGCACGGCTTCAAGGAAAATGAAGCATTAAACTCTTCGTGAAAGAAGGAAAACCTCAGCTCCTACCTGAACAAACATGCAAAACAGAAAATAAGCCCAAAGCAGGCAGAAAAAAGGAGGGACAGAACAAAGCTGAACAAAATTTATTTATTGCCTTAAAAAAACAAAGTTCCTAAAAGGATAGCTTTTAAATTCACCTTTGAAAAAAATCAAGAAAAACGATAAACCTCCCGCCAGGACGGCCAAGAATAACGAGAAAAGACACAAAGTGTCACCATCAGGAGCGAAGGAAGGTGCCGCTGGGACCCACTGGGCGCCACGGAAGAGACCCACGGAAGACAACCCACGCAGACTCGGCGCCTCGGGCGGAGGGACCATACGCCACCGCGGCCGGCCCGAGACGCGGCTCGTGGACCGAGGACCCACGGCTGCCGAGGAAAGGACCCGACACAGCCCGATGGAAACTTTCACCGAGGCCGCCCCCAGGCCCAGACGGCTCCCCTGGAGAGCCCAAGGACCGGGTGAGGAGGAGCCCCAGGACCGGGCACCCCTCCCGACTCCCGACGGGTGGGCTGCCAGGCCTGACGCCAAGACCAGGCCAGGGAAGCGGGTGGCTGGCCTCCTCTCAGAGGCAGGCTCATGAGCCCTCAGCGAAACAGGCGGGCTGAGCTCAGCGAGACGCCGAAACCCAAGCAGCCCCGGGGCCTCGAGAGCACGGGGGGCCGGGGCTCACCTTCTTCACCAGGAGGCAGACGTGGTGGCCCTGGATGGAGCGGCTGTACATGGAGGCGCAGGAGTCCACTCTCTCCACCACTGCAACAGAGGGCGCAGGCTGAGGCCCGGGCCGGCCCGCCGGGGGCAGAGGGCCGAACGCGCACGCGTGAAGCCGCCCCATCTGCCGGCCACGTCGGAGGCCTTACCGGAAAAATGATGATGAAAACAGATCTTTGCTAGAAGGTTCTGGAAGGACATACTAATGCCATCGACTTT